GTTCGTGCTTTGTCTGACGGAAGGTGTCTTAGGCCTGGTCTCACGGCCTCGGGCTTCTGGATATCAACCGACAATGGGTTAAATAAGTATTCTTTCTGAGTTAGATGCATCTTTTAGTCTGCGCTTCTTACAATACACCAAGCCCGTTCCAATGATTTCATCTAGATTTTCGGAAATCTCAGGGGTCTCTGTCCTGCATATACTACTGTATGTAGGAAACATATGGGATCTCAAACCCTCTTTTGCAACTGTCCCCTCAGCTCTCCTTTAATAGGACATTTTTGAACTGTAGCCGCCAAATTAGGTAGCTTTAAGCCAATAAGTGAGATTGTCTTTTTGCTCGGTTTGCTCTTATCTCCCTTGTCTAGGTGATATTGCTGAGTTACAAGTCAGAGTGCGTAGATAAACTTACTGAGGACATGTTTGCTAAATTACCTTTCAACCCGTTCCGTGTACAAGTCAAAATAGGCTTCCAAAAAGTGTTTATAGATCATTTTATTTTGGTCGATAGGATGAAGTACATACAACCAGACGGAGCTTTTGGACGGCGGAGTGACATAAAGAGGTATTGGAGATAAAAAACACCGGGGAATCACAGTCAATAGTTGTTTCGGATTTTGTGCGTGGGGTGGTCTCTAGGGCATATTGACCGGAATTCTTTTACAGATATCTGCTCTGAAAACATTTCCAAGTTAATGAACCCTGTCGGATTTATTGTTTATGGCACCCAGAAAAGAGTTCCGCATCTCTGTGAATGCGTTCATCGACCAGAATAAGATATTGCGACATAGGCTGTATTGATTCACAAGAGGGTGTCCAGTTGTTGTGCAGTACTCCGTACAACTCAGGTTGCAACCGGTTTGAATTGATAACCGTCAACCGCTCAGAACGACACTGTACGTGCCCATGCTCAGACCTTATCCATGTCCACTTATTCCACAGACACTACAAGGCTACTTAATTTCCACCAACAATAACCCAATTACATTCTAAATGTGAACTGCTAGATATAAGCTGTATGTTGTTATTACTCCTAATCCGAGGTCAACCCGCTACCAGTTTCGCCTGATTTTGGGGCTCATCATGTAGGTCTATTGTTCTAAAGCCGAGAACATTTATCACAGACATGAGTAGCAGTTTGAGTGAATGTTTAGTTTTGAGTTCACGGTGAAACTGTTGAAGTCGGGGACTCTATCGAGTGGCGTTCTTCCGTGCAAACTACGAGAGACGGACAGAGTCGGAATTCCATTGCGAAGATGTTCAACAAAATTTGACTAAATTATGTCTGGTTTAAGTGATATGGAGCACTTGCTCAGATGGCCAAAGCACAATGAAACCGGTTCCCAGGTGCCTGGGAGTTTTGTGAAACAACATTATGCCTTTTAGATGAAAAAAGCCAAGCTTGTTGTAGAACGGAATCCTGAGAGAGTTTGTATGCTTTATATTATGCAGAATAATACCAATATACTGCTGATCACGAGCCTACAGTTCTGGCAGCTGTGAATGAGCTAAAGAGCAAACCACCAGATGGTAAATTTACATAGCGAAAGGGAATTAATCAATGCATTCGGTTGAAGAAAGAGTGCATTTTTACTGAATGTTGCTGGTTCAAGAAATGATGGGAGACCTCTGCGGTGGCTTGAGTTAACGGTATTGAACATTTTACTAATTGCTGATTCCAGAACTGATGGTAAAGTGGCAGCTCTTCGGTTATGGTCTTCAAGAAATAATCCATTGGAATTTGTCAGTCGCCCCAGAAAACTCATGCTCTCCGTGCAAACTGGGCAGAGAACAAAACCAATTCACTGGTTTAAGACAAGCAACTCATTAGTTCCTCTATAAGGGTTTAGATTCGCTGCTGGTGATGCACATCCAGAAGTGGTAATCTGTCACATTAAAAATGCATGAATATCTTGAAAGATAAACTTTGACAAATCCACATATCTCGACTACTCGACTAACTAACATTAAGAATGCATCCATAAATCGTTGTCGACGTGGAAGGAGAGAGGGTGAGTGAGGGAGGGACGAAGCAGGAGCAACGAGTTTTTGTCCCATGCACAGATACGAGGATAAACAACAATGATGATTAAGCTAATCTGGTTGTAACCGAATGCTGTGTGCGCTACAAAGAGCTGGTTTCCTGGCTGTGTTTGTGTGAGGTGGACGGATGAACAAGCCTTGTCAAAATTGCAGAAGCAAATTATAATCCCAATTCTTGTGAGCGTGCACTGTCCTGTGTGCTCCCTTGGGTGATGGTGTGTATCCGTGTGTATTATCACGCACTAAAATGTGTGTACCTTAATAATTCAGTTCGGTCGGTTTCTGTTAGCTGATAAATTTCACGTTCGGTTGCATAGTAGTAGTGGCAGTGGCAGGGGTAAAACAGTCTAGAGGTGAAAGTGAATTTGTAAGGTTGGGGGAGGGCGTATTAGCAAACCAAGTTTTTGATCTACGAGCATCAGTTATTATTTATATTCCAAGATATTCCCTGAATTGGACATAAATCTTTGAGAATAGAAGAAGTCTCGTGTGCCTGCCTGTTCATTTGATGGATGAATAAGAAATCAAGGGGAAACGGAAAAACACAATAGACGAATTGTTCGTATGTGAGGAACTAATTCCTCTCACGTAGGGCAGCCTCGGATTGGTTTACCACTTCTGTCAGTAAAATTCTGTGTAACTTGTCTGATACACAAGACTCCCTTATGTCCTTCATTTAGGGAGCATTAGTGTAACTGTTCTTGCAAAGTTTTACATGACGATTATTCCGATCTTTGAAGCGAAGTCAACAGAGGTCAAGGAGTAACTGTACTCTAAGGTGTTTCCCCCACAGGACTGGTCAGAAACATAGTTCGTTCGCGATACAAAGAGCTAAAAACAGTCAGCAAATCGTCTGTTGTCCATTTCACCGTAGTTTGTCCAGATTCGACCGGAGCATATCATGACCAAACACTATATCCAGTGTACGGATTCCCGTCGAATGGTGGGAGGAAGCGTTATTGTCTGGCTGATACTCGACCTGGCCGCGTTTGAACTGGATTCATTCTCATAAGGTTCTGTATTTTTTCTGTTTCAACATGAATGCAATTCATAATGCAGTCCTTTGCAAAGCTGCGAGTACTCATCATCTCGCAAGTGCGATAGTAAGGGGTTGCAAGAAGCTTATCTGCAACTGGCACGGTATAACCAGTAAAAACAAGCCCTTTTAAGTTAATTGCAGTGAGAAGACCTTGATGTTTTTACCAAGATTTTATGCTGAAATCGATATGAAACTATGCTGCAAACCAAGAAGCTCTGTCTGGAATCGTTGGCAGCATGCACATTTCCAGATTCTAGAGAGATTCTGGTTGGTGCTTTGAATATCTAATCAGCATTCAAATTAACTAATCACACCCATACTCAGTTCAAGCAGCCATACTCTGAATGTAGGCGAGCACATCTAGAGCATGGAGGCTGCAAGAAAAAAGGTGTTTTTTGTTAAACAACTTTTATTCCAGGTGTTTCTTGCGTTGGGTTGAACAATTATGCATAAATAGTATGATTACACTTGTGGTTGGGTGGATTGACGCTAAAGGCTGAATTAGAGGGCACTTTGGCCATTGTTCTTCGGAAATTCATACCTATTGGTGTTTATTCGTGCAGCTCTATAAGGCTGGGGTAATAGGAAGACAGATAGGATACTATTGCAGTCAAAGTGTCTTTCATGGACGGAAGGTGTTGTAGTTATGTGAGACTAAGAACCAATGTTTGGAATGATGGCCAAACTAGTATGCTTGAAAAGAACCCATAGGTCTTTGTAGCAAAATCTAAACAAGTGAATTCGCTGTGCGTATTTCGTGTGGACTCTAAGTGATGGACATTTTGGGAACTTGAAAGGGTTTAGTGGGTAAGATGGCTCTATAAGCGAGTAGTTGTTTTGGATAAGCAATAGCTCAAATAATTCTACAATGAGGATATTTTCTAGCACGAGGCGATCTCATCCGGCAGGATACTTTAAGGTTACGCAACACAGGACCACTTTTTGAGCTGCTGTACGATGGCCTTAACTAGATAATCAAAAAAAGTTTGCAGTGTGAGGAGATTTTTAATGAATGTTTGTCCCGCAATTGCATTCAATATCTGCTAAAAAAGTTGAGGAGCACTGCTCAAATGTATCATTTTTTGGGGAATGGTTGGCAGTGTGCATCTCAAGAGACTTCAGGGAGCTTGGATTCAACAACCCATTGACTAGTAGTTTAACGACTTAATCGCCCAACCACGATTAGTGATTAGCTTGTAGTTAGACAGAATACAGCGTCACTCACTCTTAAATCACAGGAGACCTATCAAGCAGTCACGTGCTAACTGTCTCTTTGAGATAGAGGTTTCACTCATCTTCCTCAAAGTTACGGAAACATCGTTGGTACCCTGAGGAGGTTTTGAAAATTTCAGTTAAAATTTCGTTTTCTTAGTGAACAGAAAGTTTGGAGCTGGTCGCAAAGTACTTCGACGCTTTTCTGTAGATGATTTCCTCATAACCGAAAAGTACCTCATGTTTCAAGTAAGATTAGAAATTCAGTTACTTTGAATGAAATGTGTTATGAACCTCCGTGGATGCGAATCTACCTTCAGTGATCTTACATGTGACCGACTAGTATTCCTATACGGTTTAGCCCAACGGTGTTTATATCAGACCGAATTGACGGTTCTGATAACAAAGTAACATTTGTTACGAATTCTGTCCCTTATTGTCAGGTCAACCCAAATCATATGAACAGTTGTGCTAAAGAATGGCTTGCGGCTGAATGTCCTTTCCTCTCGTTTGTAATGTAATAAGATGAGCTGTTTTGCGCACTTGATCCTACCCTACTTCAATTCGATCAAATATTCTTTCTTAGCTTGGCACACGTAAAATGATCGTGGAGGTGTCCGTTACCGGGCTTGGTTTTGCTCCTTACGACCTCTCCTTTGATCTCTGCGAGAGATTTAGCATCATGTCTTGTATTTTTCTGAAACAGCGTCGCCATCCACTTGTTGCTCTTGCTGGTGTTTCAACTTTCATCGCAGCCTTGAACGGAGTTGATGGTACGGAGTCTTTAAGGCGATGCAATGAAGAAAAATCGCCAGTGAGTGATACAAAAAGTCATTCACATTATGTTGCTCACCTTCGGGTATTGTTCATTCACAGTGCTAGCCACGACCTACAGTCAATTCGACCGATGGTGCAATGTGCACAAAACATAACATTTTGTGAGTTATGCTTCTCTGAGATGTCAGTTCAGTGGATGACCTTATTTTTAAGGCAACAATTCATTAAAGACCGTCAATCTATATTTCGTCCCGTGGTAGACAACTAAGTGGTATCGTATCCAACTCATAGAATAACTGGATTATGAAAGTTAAGTTATTCGTCGTACGGTTTTGTCCGTGTGGAGTAAGCTCGCATCTTTCCTAGTAACCTTGCCAGGCAATTAACCCCCTTGTATATTAACAAGTAAAAATCGTGGCTATATTAATGCGAACAGACCACAATTTATAGCATATAGATGCTCGTACTTGTAGGCTTGTGCTAGTGGTCAGGCTAATAGTGATCATATGATTATTACAATCCACCTTATTCTGTCCAAATATTGATAATACGCATAGGTGGCAAACAGCCAATTAGCCTTTTCCTCTTCTCATCGTATATTGCAGAATTTACGTAAGTGAAACGCCAGCCCGATGGCTTTTGTCCATGATAAGGTCTCCAAGGGACAGTATGAATATTTTTCTATTTTACTTTAACGTTGCTCCGTCCATCCATTCCAGGAACCCTAAGGCAATTCTTGTGCATTGGTTTCTTTTACACGTTTAGTATGTTGAGTATGTTGAGTATTCCGCTTTATTTGAATGTCCCGTTTACTGGTTTTTGACTCATTTTTTCACAATTTTGTCGAGGACGTGGGCCTTCAGACTGCTTAGCATTCAGAGCAAATGTTTACAAACACAAAATAAAAATTTGCTGCGTTTATCCCCACTACTTTTGCCCGGTGTAAAAATGGAATTTTCTTTCATGGTGCATTGGATGGTTTGTTCCGTACTATCCCTTAAATTTCCCGAGTAAACTCTTAACTGCATTGACATTATGCATTTCCCCTTTTCCGACGCTTTCATGCTGTTTGGAACTGTCTAGGAAACGATACTACCCCTTTCAAGTGTGAAATACTTGGCTCTCTTGCTACTTATTATAAAATGCCCTTTGAACTAACTTCTAGCGTGTACTGTGGCGTTCTGATTCCCGAGGCCCATTGTAACTGTTGTTGTCTACAGGCATTTCGTTTCAAGCTGCAATAACAACAAAACTGCTCTGGTCAAGGAACACACAAAGAACCATGCCCGAATATCGTCTCAACGTCTTAGAGTTCACCGAAATCTGTATTTCATAAAGTTTTCCTCCAGATTCAGTTTAGTAATTTATAACAAAATATGTCTAGGGAGAGGATATAAAATTTCATTCCAAAATGATCACTTGCAGTTGATAGAGACGTAACAGATGTCACTTCATCCGGGTCCGGTTCAATGAATAAAAATTATTATAATGAATGATTAAATTCCGGTCCAAGGGCACAAATGGTACTGGCAAATTGTTGCCGGACTCTCGGAATTTCAAGAACGTTTCGCAAATTATCTAATGTTTCTTTTAGCTACTGAAATGACCACAGTAGTATCACGAGAATAAAGCTCCACAGAGTGCCTTATGGAAGTGCTGTTTTTAATCGACTTGAGTATCAACGAATCCCGGGAAATGAATGCTTGGTATGTTACCTTCTAATCCATTGAAGCGGTTCTATTTACCTGAAAAAATAAACTTTTAGCAGCAGAATTGGAGTTTTTCAACCTCGAAATCAAAAGTCCAAGTGCGAATAATACAGAAGTGTTCCCACTTTGCATTCTCGGACTGATTTTGTGTGCGTTCTTGAGATGGTATTGCTTCACAACCAAGGATCCAAGTTGAATATTTCGTCGACGGGTCCAGTGCGAAAAATACTTCAAGTTGCCTCGCGTTTTTTTAAAAATGGACATGGCCTTCGCAAATATACAGGTGGTTCCTGACAGCCGCCGTAGATTTTCACTGGTTACAGCCGGTTAGGCTTCCAAGCTCATGACTCAATAATTTCCAGTTTCGCATCAAAGTTCATTGACTACCCACCTAAAAATATTACTATTTAAGATCCTTTAATCAAATGGACATCTGGTTGAAATCAAGACGCGAAACTAAGATTATGTGCGCTACCCATAAATGCAAAACTGTGAACGAAAGTTTTAAGGGGAACTACAAATGATATCATAACTTTTTGTTCACCGTATGTATGACCAATATTGTAAAAACGGACAATTAACTAAAGTTTTTAATGCGATGAGTGACTCAGTTAATTTCGTTAAGCGGTCGAAGTCAGACGTAAATATGAATGGTTTCAATATCATCTCTGATTAGTTCGAACGTTTGCACAATAAATTGAGAACCAGCTGCGAAAGTGGACAACTAAATATGAAGAAAATTATTCGTATAATTAGAAAAACTTTTCTGTAGCCCATAGCCAGTTTCGTTCCGCTTTCTTTATAAAAAATATACAGCGATTTTAGAATATCGTATCAACTCAAACATTAGACGGCCTTTATACAAGCGCATATAGATGAAGAATATAACAAGCTTCAGGAGATTCCCGTCTTCATTAAATTTCACCTAAATAGTATATAAACATTTCCACACGATTATCGGTGAGGAACAAGTGGTTAACGATTGCAACAAGAAGTGGTGGATATTCGAATGTACACAGTGCTCCGTGGCCGTGCTCAGACATGAAACGAATGGTAATGAAAATGTTTTTTGGTAGAAAAGACGGTTATATCAACCTTTGGGTTGGGAAAGCAGTGAGACTTCTACGCAGGTATGAGCCTTGCCAGCGACGCCAAGTACGGCGATCTGGATGTAGAAGCAGCACTGAGCTGGCCTGAATTAGCACAGGAATGGGACAGCGCTTCCGAAACGAAACGAAAACAGGAATGTAGGAGGGCGCGTAGAACTCGTTGAATAAAACCCTTCACAGGGTAAGGCTGGAGGTATCAACGGACATTAGTGCTACGACGCAAAAGGTGAACATTTCATATAGACAAGCAAATGATCATTGGTTAGAAGGTCAGCAGCACTAAGTACTTCATTCTTCAATTAAAAATCATATAGAAAATCTCAAAGGTCAAGTGTAAAATAATTTCAAAGTCGACAAACCAGGAAGCCAGCCTACTGAAACAGTTCATATCAAGGCAATTCTCAACAAGCAAAACTACAAGTCGTATCGCTTTTCAGATAACATATTTGCATTAGGAACTGGATTTTGTTGGTGAGATGATATTTTGGGTTTTTCTATCTAGAGTTCGTCCTGTAGGTGAATTCAAACTACGCGGAAAACCGAGAAGCATTATGCAGTTATTTACACTTCTGTTGGGAGCTCTGACTGGCTCATCGAGCAACGACTTCTATGTTACTGATGATTCCCAATAAGGATAAAACAGCTGTACAGTGCTTCTAGGCTTTTGAGCATAAATTGGCTTCACTTACAGGACGAAAACTCCACAAAAATCAAAAACTCCTTCACACTACACACTACCAACAATCTATAAGTAGCTCGGTGAAACAATAAACTTCACCCGATGAGTGAAACTTCCATTTAGAAGTCGTTGCTCGAGGAGCCAGTCAACACGTGTGACCACGTGATGTGGATCCTGCGATTGAAGGATAAACGGCGCTCTATCCTGTCTAAGTGCGAGTTAATCGCGCTGTTGATCAGCCGCCTGTGGCCGAACGGTCAAGTATTCAAACTACAAGCCAGGAGGTCACGGATTCGAGCTTTAGTGGATTACGCATGGCACTTAGAAGATTAAGGGGAATACAGGATTCGAATCAGTTCACATGACGAGGAAAAATCGAGGACCACCGTCACCTCTAGAAAATTTGATGTGCGTCTGAGAGTTTGTCGGTGAAAGAAAACATTCTATTTACGCGTCTCAACCTTCATTATTCCCCCGAATCCATCAACCAGTCTAGAATACCATCAAGGGGAGTGCGAGACATACTTTTGTGTTAAACGGCGATTTCATTTAATATTTGATAGATAAGTTGTATTTTTGCTCTCGATTCACAAGAGGTAATGTGACATTGTCCTGATTTCGGTGCACTTTCATTAAACCGACACGTAACTGTGTGATTATGTATGGATAGCCGACATTTATTTGTCTAAGACTTTAACGAAAAGTATGATTAATAGGAGTACAACCTGACTAGTTTGCCTGAGACATGAAAACGAACGTCAACACCAGCGCGTCTGTGTGGGTCTGTGTTTGACCATTATTATATAATTGTCCCTCTACTAGCAATTCTACAACGGTGGTAGACTTAACTGTAGATAAGAAAGCTTGAGCATCGTTTTTTCCAGCATACCTGTTTGAATAAACGAAGATGCGAATAGCGAATGGACTCCTGTTAGCAAAAAATAACTCTAATATAATACAAAACTGGCTGATCGATTCGGCAGCTCTATGCGTCCCATGGTAGTTGCGGAGCACCAGCAAACTTTTGTCTGCCTCACGCACTCAGGCAAGATATGTGTGTAAACTACTACGAGGTGACTGTCCTTCGAAACTGCTAGAAAGTCTGATGTAATTATGGTAAGAGCATGCAAACTATTTCGGTCCAGTATAGTTGTCCAATCAATGGGCGGTGCAGTCTTTGTGAAGTTGAAGGGTATGTATATGCGATCATTGTGAACAGCTTCCTCCAGTCGGTTGAATCTTGGGAAGTTATGTAGAATTTTACCCTTCGGATCTCATTGTAAATGAAGCGTTACAAATCTACTGCATAAAGATCAAAGTAGTAGAATCTGACTGCTTTATCTGTATGGAAGCAAGCTGTATTTACAGCTACAAGTTACCTTTGGACAGATCCGTAGAGATGGTCTGCCTGGATGCGAATGCTGAGTCACTTATTCTCCGTAAACACTCATCGGTTCAGGTTTTGAGAACATGGTTAGAGTGCTCTTTTTCGGTTGAAATCCTTCATTACTTAACACCGGTAATATGCTCAGTCCTTCTT